TTAGCCATTTGTTTTGTTATTGTTATTTTTATCTGTCTCTACATTTTTCTTTTGCTCCAGTAATTCAACACTGTTTTATAAGTTAATGTTAACATGAAATGTTGTCACATCTCATTTAACATTAATTGTTTTGAGCCTAGGGCTCCTCAGCTGCCATTTGATTGGCGGATATACTAGTTTTGGCTGCAGGATGAAGCTTTATATATGGAGCTGTGAACATCAGTATAGTTCTTGCAATGACGTCGGGTAATTCAGTGAGAACGTTAGCTGAGATAAGAATACAAAAAGTAGTAGAGTTTGCTCTCTTTTATTACAGAGGGGTGACAGTTGTAAAGGTTACCAGTCTCTGCGGAGAAAGATAACAGGTCACACATCCAGTGTAATAGCTTTTTGGTTTTCTGCTCTATCTGCTAATTTTAAATTCTCTTTTAAGTTAAGCCCATACAAACAGGTTCTTACTATTGTGAAAGTTATGGAGAGGACAAAAACAATGTGCAATTTGCTCATTATCTGTTACGCTCAAGGCAATAATAGCTGATTATTTCAATTCCATGTGCTTCCAAAGACAAGCAAGTAAAAACTGGAGTTCTCCAAATAGTTAAAGTAGTCTTATCTGGAACGGCTAGCAAGTTGCTCCATGCTGTTTCCCCTCCCTTGCATTAATCCTCATTGTCTTTTCCTCTAGTTTCCTTCTTTTGCAGAAGGTAAAATTCAGCTTTGCGTGCATGACATGGAAGCTGAAGTACTGCAGGAGTTGTACATAGTTGTAGCTGTCCTGTAAAATTACCTCCGTTGGCATGGAATAAGACCAGTTTACAAAAGACTGTTCAAAGCTACTTCCGGATATCAGACTCACTGGTGTATTGGGCATTAAATGAAAAAACCTTTTAAAAAGATATGTTTCTAACATTGATGCTACTCTTTCTGTTCTGTATTGAAACTTTCCATGAGCATTTTTCAAATATTTTTCTGAAGACTAGAGTGATTTTAATATTATGTAGCAATTCACATGTTTATGTAGATAAAAGTTAGTGTTAATATGCTGGTAGCCACATGGGCCTTGTGTACGCTGTCAGCCATATTGTTGCTCTCATAGTGAAGATGAAACAAGTGTAGAACTTGCAACATTTGGTAGATAAAAAATTGTATATGCAAAACCTATGAGAGGATTACAGTTGCAGTACACAAAAATAAGTCAACGGGGAGGTGAACATTGTTCAATGTCTAGTCTTTCCTCACTATATTGAGTTATATTGTTAGAAGTAACTTATAGTTTTACTTCTACTTGGAGTGGCTTCCCGCCAAAGACAAATGGATAAACAGTTTCCTATTTAGTTTCCATCCTTAACTTTTCATACTCCAAGAGCTTTAAAAGCTATGCAAAATTTTAATTTTCCAGATACCTTAATGCTCTTGTATTGCTGGTTTTGTCAGCACAGTTTTGCAATAAAATTGATCATCTTTTATTGTCTAGACTGCTACCCCCCTTTGAAGAAAGGTGGCTTCCTCATACTGGTGGGCTGCCAGTATGAGTTAACATGTTAAGTCTGCATATATTTGACTGAATTTTCTCCTAAAGTTTGGGGGGGGTGGGGGGGGAACGAGGGAGAAATAAGCTGGGCAGAACATTCTCAGGAATTAGAATGGTGAGAATGAAATAAACGATGCTGAAGACTTTTCAGATGAACTACTTGTAATGAGTCAGGCAGATAGATCTGTTCTCATCCCCTTAGTGTGATACAGTCCAAAAAAAGAGCACTAGGTAGTACTATAAGAAAAATTTATTTAAAAAATGTTACTGAATTAAAGCTGTTTGAAGGTACACAGTAATAGAGTTATGCTAGCATGATGCCAGAAATAATGTAGGTGTTGCCTCTAACATTAAAATAATGAAGAAAATGATACATCTTTACCAGAAACAACATAGGCGCAAAAAGGCTTTTATTAGTAATTCTGCTGCTAAAGACTTCAAATTGTAGAGGGAGACCAAAGATGACTGATAAAATTTCATACCTTGAGTTTTTTGGTAGCAGCCATATAGATCAACGTACATTTAAAATATTTTGTTCACGGTGGGTAGGTGGAAAGACGTTGTTCATTGATAATGATTTCTAGGAACTTTTATGGGACGTACCTGTTGAATGGTTAGGAGAGAAACTGATCCACAATTTTGAAATATGATCAAATCATTCTGAATGATTTGCCTAGGTCTAGTAAGGTGCATTGCTGCCCTAAAACATATGTTTTAGATGAGAGATAGGAAAAAAGTTACCTTGATGTTTGAAATGGGGAAATCTGCATCTAAAAGGCACCTTTGGTTCAGTCAGCTGTGTTGATAGTTACTCAGTGTCACCTGTTCTCTGTTAAAGCTTAACTAGTTTGCTAAACTAACATCTATCTAGACCACTGAAAGGTAAAGGCTTATATATTAAAAAGTTAGTGGTAATTTCCTTCATGTATCGTATGTCTTAATCTTCTTGCTATGGCTTTTAAACTTGCTTTATGTCTCCAAGAGTTTTGCTGCAGTTTCATTAGCTTAAGATATTCTGAAATACTTTCTTTATCTTGAATTTTTTTCCTCCAGTGCTCTAGTAAATTAACAACCTTACTCCTTATCCATAATGAATGTGAAAGAGCATTTGCTTGGCTGATGGTTCATACAGTCCTATAAAGAAGTAGGCGTGCCACTTGTGTAGCCACAATAAGGAGCAAGCATGTGCAGTGAACCATCTATATGATCTTGGTAATGCCATTCATTATTGTATAAAGCCAGCTTGGCCCAAGTCTGAAGGTTGTAATTCCTTAGGGGAGCTTTAGCTCAGAAAAAAAATCCTAGTATTAAATAAATTATTTAGACAGAAGAGTATCTTTTTCAGTTGGTGTTAAGGTTGAAGTGTATTCTTTACTGCGGGGGGAAAAACAAACAAACCTAAAACCTAAAATAATTTACCTAAAATAAATAATGGAAATTTTGTGTTTTCAGGAATGAAAGGGACTAGAGATTTGAATGTGAAATCAGCACTATGTAGTTAAAAGCTCAGTTTTGTTTAAAGTAATGCTAACATCAGAAGCATGTGTATGCACTTTTTTGAGAGTTTGGATTTATTAAAATTTTATATGATGTCAGCTTTCTTCTTATGTAGTTACGAAAGTGTCAGTAAAGATCAGCAGTTTGATGTGTCAGATCATCAGTTACATGGAACCGTGGAACCCCACAAAAATACACTTACGATACCACAAGAAGGGCGTAGCTACGCACGAAAGAATTATATGCAAAATGTGGCTCTAGGTGGACAAAGAGTAGAAAGGTCTGATGATGCCATAGGAGGAGGTTGTCTGGTAACCTGAAATACAAGGTACCAATCCTGTGTTTTTTTTTTTTTTAAAAAAAAAAAAACACTTGCTGTTGTTTCTGGTTACAGGAAGGTTAAATATTTGCTGCTTTGGAGCAGCACACTAAACTGAGAGAATGAACTCTTGATTGAGCTGTTGGTCTAAAGAGGTGTTGTGAGCTTGGTGTGCCAACTGCTTTCTCTTGGAACTGTTTGTGTGGTTTCTAGTTTTGCAGCTGTGGAGTACAGCATGATCTAGGCATGACTTGTGTGTTCCCACTGTGGATCCTTGCATGGGTGGGTGGATAGCTTTTTTAGCTAATAAATATCTAACTTGAATAGCTTATTAATGCTGGCAAATGAAAAATTACCCAACTTGGCTTCAAAGTGCAAGAGAGTGTAACTTCTGTAAGTCTAGTGCCAGTGTATCCACTTGTGGTAGAAAGTGAATGGCATTTACCGGCGGATTACTAATTTATCCTGCATTAGGAAAACTCATTTTGTGAATACCTTTTCAACACCCTCTCCAAAAATATAGAGGCACAAGCACAGCACAGCCTTACCTACTGCTGTTGTCCAAAACGTGGCCAATCCCCCTTTTTTCTTGGCCTGTGAATGTGCAGTCAGCTTCCATTTTTTATTATAAAATAGCACATTTGTTGAATCAAGTTACTGTAAAAGTGCAAAGGTAATAGTTGCGGCTTTGTATTGCAAATATGGGCTTTTCATCTGCCACAGCATGGAAGCTGCGTACAGTGTGGCTGAGCAAATTTTATTTCTCCAACCTTCAAAGCACCTGCAGTTGTGAGAGGAGGCTTCCATTACAGCTGTTGTATGCTGTAGCCCGTTAATCTGAGGTGATACATATTTATTGTGGAAGATGACTTTTAATAACTTTAAAATGTGTAATATCAGCTTGCATGTTATGACCCTAAATAAGAATCTGATTTTTGGAGAAATGCACTGAATTTGTGCCAGAAGGTCTACCTGGTTAATGTTATAAAGCCTGTTATGTAATATTATAGGGATATTTCTAGAACAGTAAATACATTTCAGCTTAATTTAGTAATACAAACACCAGAACATATTTTACAAAAATCCATTAAATTAAAGCCCAATAAATTGTTACTCAATTTGGAAACTCGATTTCTAGTCTCCTGCTTGCTTCAAAAATTTCAGTTTAAGAAAACAGGAAAGACCTTTCCGTAAAGAGGAGAAAAAACTGATGCTAGTTTGGCGTGTTGTGTTTTATCTTCTGATCTGAATAAATCAAATTTGCAGGCTGCTAATCTGGTGTAAATAGAGTTGTGTTATGGCCATGTTTCATCATGATTGTGACCAGTTGCCTCATTTTAATCTTAGTTCCTGTATTGCTTTATGAACCTCAGCTTATCAGAAGTTTTAAGTCTTAAAATAGGTTTTCATTGGTCTGTTACCTTTTAATAGTTTTCTGTGGACTTCACGTTTTTTCTGACAAAAAGTATGATGTCACTTTAGTGTTGTGAGTTCTTGGAATATACTAGAATGTTTTATTGATAGAAGATATAGTATTTATTTGTCTGGAATAGTTCTCAAACTTAGGGGTTTGGGGAATGCATGTTACTTTTTGTCTTTGATCTTTGTCAAAAGATCTTTGATCTTTTACCTTTATCTTTCTTTCCTCTTCAGGAGATCATCGTTCTGAAGAACTTTCAACTTTTATTTGCAACAGCCGCTGTATGTTCATATCTCTTTAATTATGTGTTTTATGTATTGCAAAACAAAAATCAATAGATTGTGTTTATTTTTAAAAGAAGATCTTGCAAGAGACAAAAAGGTAATGGTAGTATCAAGGTAATCAAAAAAGCCTACTACCTTTACTCTGATTTTTAAAGATAGGAACAGCTGAGTGGTTGTATTGAAAGTATATCTGAGTGTTCAGATCTTGCATCATTTAGTTCCCATATAATCTTTTAAAGTAAAATGATTGCACCTGTTGAGTGTAGATATCTACATAGAACCCAAACCTCATAGCTACAGGAGAAATGTATTTATTTTAGCTCAAGGAAGATGCTTTCTTTTGAAGCATAGCTTTAGCAACCACAAGCCTTGATCCTCCAGGCCTGTAAGTTTATACATTAAGCCATTAACAATTCTGTTTGATTGCTTACCGTAGAGTTAATTATCATAATTAAATAGTAGGCTTGTGAAGGACAATGTAGTGTCTCTAGCTTGAAGGACAGTTTTAAATTGTTCCTTAATTTGATGCGACTTCTGTTTTGAAGAGTGTCAAAGTGTATGGAACTTCCCACGCGCTGTCTAGTGTTGGTTTAAATAACTGACCTCTCTGCTTATATTGCCGGAGAGTTGAGGAAGGTTTCTCTTGCAATGCCTAAATAGTGTTTCATGTTCAAAAAAGCGTTTTGTTGCTGAAAGCGCTGTACATGAGAAAAAAGTTTTGATGTATACTGTTTTATGGCAACGTAATGCCAAATATACCTTTTGTGTCTTTATAAACCAGCAGTACCTCTCTGGAGGCCAGATGGTATCATGGTGCTCGGTTACTAGCCAATGTGAAAAAAGAGATAGTAAATAGATCAGTAGTAGGGCTATTTAATAAAAATAATATTAAATATTAAAAGAAATGGCCTTATGCCCAATAATAATCTATATTCAGAGAGCATTTAGAGGTAATCTTATCCTGATTACTGTACCATAGAGGCAGATGAAGGAGGTTTGTGATTTCTTTCATAAATTCAGATATTGACTAGCAGAGTTCTTGTTATACAACAGTATCTGTTCAATGACAACTGCCTCTGTACACAGTATTCCAGAAGTGTTACTTCTGTGAGCAAAATAGTTATCTTGAAATAAAATTAATTTTAGTTAAACGGATCAGTTAATCTAGTAGATAAGACTAGTTGTTGCCTGAGAGCTTGCATTAAAATTTAGATGAAAGGTATTGTGTGATGGTAACAACCTCAAAATGGATATAAGGAAGGGACTGAAAATATTGAAATAAGGATGACAGAAGTAAAAGCCTCTAAATGCCCATTCCATCCCATCCCTTCCACCAGCTGCCCATGTGTATGTGCACTCCCTTTCCCACACAAGCATCTTCTTTTGATTTCTTGTTAGGTCTCGCCGGTTTACAGTCCAAAACTGTCCATTGATATCTCCTTTGGTTGCCACTCAGTGACAGAAACATAATCATCTTTTAAGCCCATCTGATATATCCATCACTGAGATGTAGCCTATAAGACTGTTGCTGTTACAAATTTCTTACTATGATTTCTTCCATCAATCTTTGTTTTCATTTGGGCTCTTCATTTTTTTGGACCAGGTTCCTTGTTGATTTGGTGGATAGGTGCTGTTGCTGGATGCACATGCTCATTCACTTGCAGTGCCAGCAGGAGCTGTTAGCACTCGTAAGATCGTTCTTTGTTCTTGTGCAACTTAAGAGCAAATACATCATATGCTGGTCACTTCATCGCAGAATGGTTGTTTCAGATTCTAAAAGTATATGAAGCTATCACTACATTGCTTGCAGTTAATTCAGGTTTTTCAAGGTTACAGCCAAGGTGTACAGACACAGCACCTAGTTTTTAAAAAGACAAATTCTGGATGAAGAATTCAACAGTATGATAAAGGTGCCAGGAGAGTCTCCTTGTCATGTGATTTGAATCCTGCATCCAGTGGTTTATTTCTGTTCTGTTTTTCCTTTGATTGGTAAATGCTTTAGTGAATTTTCTACTCCCCTGTCATGTCATATGGACTTTCCTAAAAAGAGAAACAGTATCTTGAATTGATCTGAAGGTAAATATTCCAACCATGACCATTAAAAATTCAGTTTTTTTCTGTTGCAAGGTGAGTGAGATATAGTGGGCAGTGGGGTGGTTTGGGGGTTTTATTTTATTTTTTTTAATCTTTTTACTATAGATAGGAGAGGTGTAGAATGGAGTATGTAAGTGAAAGGAAGGCATGAAGATTCAGAATTTGAGAAACTCCTGCTTTATGTGTGTATTTTTATATAATCTAAAGGGCTAGCTTTTCAGCAGGTTATGGCTGTTATAACTCCTTTTGCATGTTGTGGGACTACCTCCGATTAGCTATTTACCGGGTTAAACAAGGTGTTCAACACTGAGCTACACCAAATCAAAGCTGCAAGTGCAAGAATGTATTGTTATTTTTACCTTCTAAAATTTGGGGAAGGGGGAGGAACAGACTTCAAGAGGGGAAAGCAAATTACAGTTTTTATATTGCTCTAATCCTTTTGATGTCTTCTGATATATTACAGTCTATTTCTGTAATTTTGTTTAGGGCTTGAAACTGTCCTATGTGACAGACATAATAAAAGTGTTACCAGAGGTGAAATTACTGCAGTTTACTTTCCCTTATAGGTCACTAACCTTAGTGAAACTATATTTGAATGTAATTTTTAATAAGAGCAGATGTTTGTGTCTGGCTGCCATTAGTGTTTAGGAATGGTAGGCAGCTGAAGCTGTGAGTTCCCTTTAATTACCCTGGCTGAATGCTTTAGTGATTAGCATGGTTAGTGAATACCATTATGGAATAATGACATATAGATTAAAATATGGAATAAAAGTAATGAATGGATGCTTATAAGTTCATTTAATGGCATTCATTTAGCATCAAGCTAGAGTATTTAGGCATTGGAAGAGGATATTTAATGCTATTTCAGGTATTTTGTCCTACATATAGCAAATTACTATAGATATTGTTAAACTATGTTAGTGTCATAGCTGATCATAAAAAGGACTGTTAAAGTGAGAATTCCTATCTTACTATATGAGCTGGAAGAACTGTTGCATGCTGTAATAGATTTGTTGTAGTAGGTGTCTTGTGGTGTCTTGCAAATGCAAAACTTGCTGATGTGGTTACTACCTTTTTAATAGATCATTGACCTGTCAATCAGACTCTGACCATTTCAGAGATAAAAAGCTATGCTTTCATTGGCTGTAATGAATAGAGCTCCTTTCCACAAATTAAGAAATGGTATAATAATTAACAGATATAATGGATGTGTGCATTGACATTTTGGTTATATCTCTGAGCTTTAGCTCCTGTTATTTTTGGTGTAGTTAACTCCCTGTCTACCCATGGATAATTTAAATATGTTGTAAAAATGAATTAGTTTTGTGGCAGTGGCATATTGCTATATGTCAGACTGATAGTTTTTGCTCAGTTTTTGAGGATCTTCTGTGATAAGAGTTGATGTTAATCCTCTTTCAGACTTCATCCTTTTAAACTAAGGCAAAGAGAACTTAAGTAGCAACTTATTAAGTAAGTAGTAATACCGTTCTTAGGATAGCTTTGCAATGATTCTTGAAACAATTTTGCGTAGAGAAAATTTACTCAAACTTCTTAAAACATTGTCTTTGATTTACAGATTTTAATGATTATAAATACTGATGATTACTGATATTGCGATTTGATATCTTTGATGTAATAAGCCACTTGGAAAGTGCCGAAGCAGGTCACTCCGGACTTGTAAGGTGAATCAGGAAGTAGACGAAGGTCACTACCCTTTTCTAAGTTCTAAAGATCTTGAGAAAAATCAAGATTTAAGGCTTGAAAATGGAAATAATGTTTTTAGTTGCGAAACTTAATTAGATAATATCTAGATTCGTTTGCTTTGGTGTAATATGCTAAGTGCAAAAAGTATAAATCGGGAAGGAATAGAAGAGAGTACTAAATTTAGAGGTAAATTTTGGTCGGAGCCAAGGAAAAATGGTTGAGTTTATATACAATTTTGTATTAGTTTGTGAAGATGAGGAAGAAATACAAGAAAAATAAGTTAAAATGAGAGACTGATATGTTATTGCATAACTGGAAATTTATCAGGCCATAGCAGCTATTTTTGTTTTCAAAGATGTTATTAAAAATGTCTTTGGCCTTTTAATCAGGTGCTGTTACTCTTATTTCACTCGTTTTATGTGTAACACTATTTCAGGTATGTTTTAATATACCAAGTGTATTTGGAACTCATGTGTAAAGAGGCTTACGTCTTTACTAAATGATGCTCATCTTTGTGCTAGAACATGGCAAAGTCGACCTCCTATTGTAAACTCGATTTGATCCACTTCAGGGAAAGTGTGTTGCTTAGTGACACCAATTGTCTCTAAATGGATACCATAGTAGATCTTACCAGTGTTCAGTTCTTCCTGTTCAGTAGCCCGCAGATTCTTCTGTCATTGTCAGGATTTTACTAATGTAGTATATAAGTCACCAGTTGTTTTCTTTCCATTTTTATATAAGTCATATCCATGTTACCTAAGTAAAAGGTGTACACATAAAAATAAATATGCAGATACTTGTCCATGAAATGCATTTCCAAAGTAGTGCTTAGTATTAGTTGCAGATCTTACTGTGTGTGTGTGTATATTTAGATATGTAAATGTAGTTGTAAAAAGATAATATATTCTGAAAGAAAATGCAGCAATTCTTCAGCAATATCTGGCAGTGTCACGCCTGCTCTAACCTGAGTCCAGAATATTACAGATGCAAGAGGCATTAGCTTTTTCAGAGTGCACTGTGACGCTATACCAAGGTCTTCCAGGTCCATAAAGTGAAGTCCTCAAGAAAAGAAAGTAGAAGGGATGCACTTCCCTTTCTTTTTGCTGTTTAATATCTCCATACATGTCCACATAGGCAGTTTACCTTTTGATGGAAGATGAGGGGAAGTAGTATGTAGTTTCTGCATTTCTGATCCAAGAAGGGCCTACGCTGAGACTCTGGAATGCAACCTCCCCTGCTCCTAACCCAGTCTTCATAAACTTTCCCATTACTTATTCCTTTCTTTTCAATCATCTGTTCAATTGTCCCTTCCTCATCTTAGGCTGTGATGTAATCTTAGTTCCTTCATCAGTTACATGTAATTTTTTCACTATATTCTAGTCTTTTTACACATACTACTTAATATGTGATGTTGTATGGCAAGCAAAATTGCCTCAAGCAAACCACAAAACTAGTTAATATAACAAATGAAAATCATTAGAGGTGATGCTGTTGAAATCTTTATCCTTCAATTCTCTCTATTTTTCCTTTATATTAAATCTAAACCTAAATGACATTTTGTTTTGCTTCAAGGATCTTATCTTTCTATTCATTTTATTTATTTTGGTTAAATGGCTTAAAAATATACAGAACTTAAGAATTCATCCATTTGAATCTCAAGAAGAAAAATAACAGAGATTTTTGAATAGAATGAGTCTACCAAGAGGTCAGCTTTATGTCTAATTTAGATTCTGCATAAGAGTTTGGATTTATATATACTGAGAAGAAAGAGTTTAGGGCTATTGGGAAGCATTTAGGTTTATATGTTGTTGTTTTCATGCATTGGCAAAACTTTTCATGAAAAACAAAAGATAGCAATGCTTGGGAATTGAAAACAAAGCTAGTTCCCATGGTTTTAATCACGTGGGGAGTAGACAGAATTACAAGTAAAAATACCATGTTTGAATGTGATTCTTCAGTAATATTTTTCCTGTAAGTGTTAACTGATTAAATCATTGTTCAACTCTGATTATCGGGAGGATGCATTTGAAATATGATACAGGGTGTCTCTGCTGAAGTAGTGCGAAATAGAACTATGTTTCTAGGATCTACACTTTAATATGTGGAAGTTCAGTATGAAAATGGTGTATTTTGCTCATGAGATGCATACTTACCTAAAAGCCTTCCTTTAAGCTATTGTTTTCTGCTTCTAAGCTAAACAGTGCAGGCATTTGCTTTAGTATATCATGTGAAGCCCTGCATTATATTTGCAGGAAACAATCTAGGACGCTTGCCTAAAAAAGCAGCAGCCAGTCTTTTGTTTTAATTGTGAGGACTTTACACTGACATTTTAAGCACCAACTTTTCTATAGATGCAAAATCTCTGAAATGTGGCTCCGTGTTATAAACTGGCCTCTAAACACACTGTTTTAATTATCTCATCTTTTCAGCAACCAGATTGCCCTTTCAGCGTCCTCATAACTCATCAAGAGCTGAAGTGTTCAATGGGCTCATAATTAGTCTTTGGACACTGGCATTGAACCTCAGTTTTTCTTATAAGAAAGCTTAGAACTGTTTCTTACAAGCTAGCTCTTAGGGTATAGAAAGCAAGTAAGCAAATTATTTTCCCCCGAACATGTTTTAATTCACTTTCATTTAAGATTTTTCTCCCTGTGACTTTTGATGCACAAAGCTTTAGTTTTCAAATATACAGGCATGGGGTGTGTGTTGCTTGAATTTGTTTATGGAATTAGATTCACAACGGGGAAGTCATTCTTAACCAACCTGATAGCCTCTTACAATGAAATGACTGGCTTGGTAGGTAGGTGAGGGGAGAACAATGGATGTTGTCTACCTTGACTTCAGTAAAGCTTTTGATACTCTCCTGTAATGTCCTTGTAGGCAAGCTGATGAAGTATGGGCTAGATGAGCAGACAGTGAGGTGAACTGAAAACTGACTGAATGGTCAGACTCAGAGGGTTGTGGTCTATGGCACAAAGTCTAGCTGGAGGTCAGTAACTAGCAGGGTACCCCAGGGGTCGATGCTGCGTCCGCTACTGTTCAATTTCTTCATTAATAATGTGGATGATGGGGGCAGTGCACCCTCAGCAGTTTGCAGACAATACAAGACTGGGAGGAGGGGCTGATACACCAGAGTGCTGTGCTGCCAGTCAGAGGGGTCTCAAAAGGCTGGGGAAATGAGAGAGGCAGAGAGGAACCTCATGAAGTTTAACAAAGAGAAGTGCCAAGTCCCACACCTGGGGAGGAATAGCCCCATGCTTCAGCACAGGCTGGGGCCAACCAGCTGGAAAGCAGCAAGGCTTTTGACACTCAGCAAGGCTTTTGACACTGTCTCCCATCACATCCTCCTAGGTAAGCTCAGGAAGTGTGGGCTGGATGAGTGGACAGTGAGGTGGATTGAGAACTGGCTGGATGGCCGAGCTCAGAGGGTTCTGGTGAACGGCGCAGAGTCTAGTTGGAGGCCTGTGGCTAGCGGTGTCCCCCAGGGGTCAGTCCTGGGTCCAGTCTTGTTCAATATATTCCTCAATGACCTGGAGGAAGGGACAGAGTGCACCCTCAGCAAGTTTGCTGATGATACTAAACTGGGAGGAGAGGCTAACACACCAGAAGGCTGTGCTGCCATTCAGAGGGACCTGGACAGGCTGGAGAGCTGGGCGGAGAGGAACCTCCTGAAGTTCAACAAAGGCAAGTGCAAGGTCCTGCCCCTAGG